TGTTTTTTAGATTTGTCTTTTTAGTCACAAAAAAAAAAAAGTGTCATCATGAAAACAAAAGCATTAAAAATATTCCCATTTTTGATATAAGATATTGCCAATTAAATGACCTGGGAGTCTCATAATTTGTCTATGATGCTTTAAAAAACTCAAAATCACTTCCATTATCATCTCTCACACACTTTTTAAAAAAACTTGCTAAAGGTTTAGAAATTAATATATTTGGTAATACTGCAGCAAACAGGCCTGCTTTTCATGATGATGTTAACCAGACCGCATTAAAAAGATGGCACATAAAGTTCTGTACCTTGATTCTGACACATTTAAAAAAGATACAGTGCTAAGATCAAAAGGATGTCTATTATTTTAATTATTGTTATTTAAAATACAGATTAGAGTGAACTTTTTTTTTTACGTCCTTCAGGGAGGAGCAAGCGTTAGTTAGGAGGGTCATTCATTCATATTCTTTTCAGCTTAGTCCTTTTATTAATCAGGGGTTGCCACAGCAGAATGAACCACCAACTTAACCAGCAAATGTTTTACACAGCGGATGCCCTTCCTGCTGCAACCCATCACTGGGAAACACCCATAAACTTTCATTTACACTTACGCTAAAGACAATTTAGCTTACTTAATTCACCTATAGCGTAGGAAACCCACGCCAACAAAGGGAGAACATGCACACCCCACACAAAAATGCCAACTGCCACAGCCAAGGCTTGAACCAGAGATTTAAAAAAACACATTTAAAAAAAAATAAAGTGCAAGGTTATGCTAAAAATTTAATGGATTCAATCCAAATATGATCTAACCCACTCATTGGTTTACGTTTAATTTTTTTTCTTTTGTAATAACCAAAGAAATTTGAGTTGAAACAACCAAGCATTTTAAAGGGCAATTAAAACCAGACAATACTTGTCAAATTTAATACATAGCTGGTGTCTGCTTGCTTGCTTGCTTGCTTGCTTGCTTGCTGGATGGATGGATGGATGGATGGATGGATGGATGGATGGATGGATGGATGGATGGATGGATGGATGGATGGATGGATGGATGGATGGATGGATGGATGGATGGATGGATGGATGGATGGATGGATGGATGGATGGATGGATGGATGGATGGATGGATGGATGGATGGATGGATGGATGGATGGATGGATGGATGGATGGATGGATGGATGGATGGATGGATGGATGGATGGATGGATGGATGGATGGATGGATGGATGGATGGATGGATGGATGGATGGATGGATGGATGGATGGATGGATGGATGGATGGATGGATGGATGGATGGATGGATGGATGGATGGATGGATGGATGGATGGATGGATGGATGGATGGATGGATGGATGGATGGATGGATGGATGGATGGATGGATGGATGGATGGATGGATGGATGGATGGATGGATGGATGGATGGATGGATGGATGGATGGATTTTTTCCAATAAAATTAGTTGAGTTTTGTAATTTAAACCCAAAAATTTTATTCTCATACAATTTTACAACGATTTACAGAGGATGAAACTAAAATGACAAATCAGTGAAAGTTTATATACAAACAAAAACTTTAATAATTATTTTTTTAATGTTGCGCAAGTCAAATAATTAAGTCTCATTTTAAGTCTTGGCTTTTTGCTTTGAAAACATTCAATTTGACCTATATGTCAGCAATCTATTTTTTCACAATATTTACTAATAACAATTTATTTACTGTTTTTTTTTTTTTAACCATCTACTGCATAGGTCTCAAACTCGATTCCTGGAGGGCCGCGGCTCTGCAGTTTTACTTCAACCCAAATCAAACACTGCTGAGCCAACAAATCAAGGTGTTCCAGACTACAAGGAGGTAACTATTACTAGAGGTGGTTGAAGCTAAACAATGCAGAGCTGTGACCCTCCAGGAATAAAGTTTGAGACCATTGATCTATTGCTTAACGCATACCATTCTGGGCTAAATATGGTGGAAAGTGTCATCAGTAACAGCCATTGCCCTGAAAACAAAAACAATGTTTGCTGTTTGTTCAAACTAAAACAACACAATTATTGAGTGTTTTTTGTTGCAACTTAATTGTTTTATGTTCAATCCACTTAAATTTTTAAAAACTAATATGTTAACTCAATTCCTTTATGTCGTCCCAACACAACATGCGTGTGTACACTAATCTACATCACTACCAAAAAGTCAAAATAAAACAAATGACATTATACAAAGCCCTAATAATTAAACATGTGCACATCTACACAACATACATTCAGTACAGGACCCCCATGCACTTTCCAAATCAAGCACGCTTCCATTTACCACCGGTGGACCTGGCAAAATAAAAATGGATTGGTTACAGCAGGAGCACTCAGCTTTAATGAAGCATAATTGAATGGTGAAGTCTTTTGTTTGGAGCTGTACTTATCTGATTCTCACAGCAGGGTTACTGGAGAACCCGCACTACCTGCAGACTCCTGTTTATTTCAATCCTGGATGTCTTCCTAAAAATCAAACAGCATGCGCAAACCTTTCTTCTTCACCATGTCAAAGTATTACTGATGCGAAACAGCCATAAAACACGATAACTGAGATTATTTATGACACCGGCAGCATAACAGACAATGCAGTCTTCGTAATTAAACATTGATAACTCTGCTTTTTTCCAACACAGCAGGGAGTAAAGCTAATGCAAGTATAGCTAGTGGAAGCGTTACATAATGCATTTGAGAACATTTGAGAACATCTGCAACTGACCTGAATAAAACAATAGCATGAAAACATTATTGATGAATAGATGGCAGACTGTATGCAAGATCTCTTTGCAAATCTAAGAACTCTTATTTATATTTATTATAACGTACAATAGAGTAGATGAAGCACTGAGGTATCACAATTGTGTTTTTTTCATATGCAAGTCATGAGCAAGGCGTAATTCCAGTATATGAGAGATGAAATGAACATTTTGGGTGAATAAAATCAACGAGGTATTGTGTCATTCTATAGTAAACCATAAAAAAATTCATTATGAAGTCTGCATGATCTCTGTACAGATGGATGGATGGAAGAAGGAAATATTGGACAGATGGATGAAGGAAATATTAGAAGGATGGATGGACAGACGGATGAATGAACGGACGGATGGATGTGGGAAATATTGGGCAGATGGATGAAGGAAATATTAGAAGGATGGATGGACAGACAGATGAATGAACGGGCGGATGGATGTGGGAAATATTGGGCAGATGGATAAAGGAAATGTAGGATAGGTGGATGGAGAAAATATTGGAAGGATGGATGAAAAAAATATTGGACAGATGGAAAGAAATAATGGACGAATGAACAGATGAATTAAGGAAATATTGGACGGATGGACCGATGGATGAAGGAATTATTAGATGGATGAAGGAAATATTGGATGGATGGAAGAAAATATTGGACAGATTGAAGGAAATTATGGACAGATGGATGAAGGAAATACTGGAAAGATGGATGAAGGGAATATTGGATGGATTGAGGGATGAAGGAAATATTGGACAGATGGATGAAGGAAATATTGGACGGATGGATGAAGAAAATATTGGATGCATGGACACTGGACAGATGGATGAAGGAAATATTGGACGAATGAAAAATATTTTATGGATAGACAGATAGATGAAGGAAATCATGGACAGATGAAAGGAAATAATGGACAGATGGATGAAGGAAATACTGGACGGATTGATGGATGAAAGGAAGAAGGAAATATTGGACAGATGGAAGGAAATATTGGTTGGATGGGCTAATGGATAAAGGATATACTGGACGGATGGAAGGATGGATGGAGGAAGCATTGGACGAATGGATGAAGGAAATATTGGATGGATGGAAGGATGGATGAAGGAAACATTGGACAAATGGATTGATGAAAGAAATAATGGATGGATGAATGGACGGATGGACAGATGGATAGATGGATGGATGGATGGACGGATGGACAGATGGATAGATAAAAAGGAAATTGACAAGGGGAAAAAAAATAATCGAGATAGGAACTTACTAGGGTTCTTAAAAAGTAGAGAACTAAAAATCTCTAAATAAATAGCAGTTATGGTTAAAGATTGATTAATTAGACACGATTGTGTATTTATAAAATTATAACCATTTTAACCATTAAGCTTTTATTATGAGCAACTTGACAATGATCACAATGCAATTTCTTAAAAACATTTCCATAAAAGCCCCAGTAACACTCCAGCTTTTTTTTTCAATGAGTATTTTAAAGAGTAAAAACAGTACAAAACAATCAAATTAAAACAATAAAATACACTGTGAACAAAATAAAATAGACTTCATGGAGTCTCACACAGTACTTTCATATAGGAAGTACCCTGCTTTGAGTATCACGCAACTACACCATTATCTCAATGTTATCAACACAACAAGGTATTTTTGAACCATAGTCCTAGCATGACAAAAATATACTACCATGATATTTCAATGATGTTAAAAAAAACATGTCCTTAAGGCATTATTTCACCGTCTGTGTGAAGTAAAGCCCCGATCCAGCTATGTGTAACCCAATGTTAGCCAAATAAACCATACATTTAGCTGCATTTTGTTTTGTTTTTGTTTTATTTGAATGCAGCTTGTCATATGCATGATACTCCATCAGGTAAGCAAAGTCAAATAGCATTTATAAGGTACACCTGCAAGCAATAACCATAATTTGACTTTCTCTGTGAACTAGTAAACAGGGTAACAGCACCACAGTATCTAAATGCTTCAAATATGATGTTTTTGACATTACAAACATATGATCTCCTGTGTAAACAACATCAAGCACTGCTGTATCAGCCGGATGCTGCTGTATCTGCAACACATCAAGCTCACCCAGAGCAAACAGATCCATCAGCTCTGTCTGAACGAGAAGCAAAGTACTGGCATGTTGTTTTTATGGAAGCGTGACGAATATCAAAGCTGCTGGAATTAACACACACACACACACACGACGTGCAGTGACTTACCGAGCAGGAGCAGCTTCACCTCCCTCGCCGCCTTCTCTCCATCCTCCCGCAGGTTTTTGTCGATCATCTTTGATCTCTCTGCGGCCGCCTTGTCCTCCGCGCTCACCGTGCAGCCCATGATGGAAGCGTGCGCGCGTCAAACTTCAAAGAAATCGTCCGTTCCGCCAAACAACGCTAAACTGTAAAGACGCGACAGACGGTATATAAAGTGTTACAATTGAAAGGCTTTGATTCCGATAATCCCCGGCCTGTGATTCTCCATCAATCAGAAATTGTTTAGAGAGACGCGATTAAAAAGTTGCAGTTCAGTTTGCCATCAGATCAATCAATCAATCAATCACTTCCTTTAGCGCCTCCTTTCAGATCAGAGAGCAGCCGCGGCGTCGGCGCTTTCATCTGCCGCTCACAGCTCCTGAAATACAAATCATTTGCTGCCGTTAAATCTTTATTCTCCACGCAAAACTGTATCCAAGCGGTGACAAATCGTGCCGCCAAAGAGCTCCGGTGGTTTTGGTGTTGAATTCAAGCGTCCAGCATGTCACTGCTCCTGCTGCAGGGAGATTGTGAATGTAGTAAATGTGAATACTCTGCTGTGCTCGCCTCGCACTGCTTTCTTCTGAGGAATAAACAGAGCAGAAGAATGTGAAAAAGCCGAAGCGTGCAGCGCCCACCCACTGGTCGACACTGCGCATGAATTGTGGGAAATGCAGTAGTTTTCGGCTCTTTCTCTGTCAACTAGTTATGACTAGGGTGTTTGATTCGTTTTAATAAATCGGTTTGGTCAAATGATTCACTGAAATATTTAAAATGATCCACCGATTAACTCCTATATATTGTATATTCTCAGTTTAAATACCCCAACATATAACCCAACTATAGGTTATTATGATTCATTCATTCATTTTCTTCTCGCCATAGTCCCTTTATTAATCTGGGGTCGCCACAGCAGAATGAACCGCCAACTTATCCAGCACATTTTTACACAGCGGATGCCCTTTCAGCTGCAACCCATCTCTGGGAAACATTCAAACACACATTCACACACACACACACACTCATACATTACGGACAATTTAGTCTACCCAATTCACCTGTACCGCATGAAAACCTGGAGGAAGCCCATGCAAACGCAGGGAGAACATGCAAACTCCACACAGAAACGCCAACTGAGCCGAGGATCGAACCAGCGACCCAGCCACCTTCTGCGTCACCAGGTTATTATGATGTACAGTTGTATTTTTCTTTTAGCCCTGACAGGCAAGACAAACTGTCTGTCTTGCAGGATTGTTTAGTCTCCAATAACAAATGGATGGCAGACAATTTTCCGCAACTGAACCCTGATAAAACTGAAATGCTGATTTTTGCTCCAGATAGCATCACCGCAATGATCAGGCACATTTTGGGGGGCTTGTCATCTTCAAAATGCAGTGATATTAGAAATCTAGGTGTCATCTATGATCGAGCACTGTGTTTTAATAGCGATGTTAAGTCTGTTGTCCGTACATGCTTTTTTCATCTGAGGAACATCACAGAAATCAGACATTGTGTCAAAGGAAGAGATGGAGATGCTTGTCCATGCCTTCATCTCTTCACGATTGGATTATTGTAATGTTCTGTTCACTTGTCTGAACAAATCTTCCATGGATCGATTGTGTGTGTGTGTGTGTGTGTGTGTGTGTTTGTGATAGAAACCAAACAATTATGTTACATGGATATTTGAATGTCTATATAATTTGTATCATATACATATAATTTACATCTAAATATTAATAAACAGTCTAAAATATATGCACGCATGTGTGTATTTATATTAATGTAAACAAAAATATTGTCAAAACAAACCTTTATTTTGTATGCAAATAATCACGATTAATGTTTGTCCAGCACTAATTATTAGCATATTTAAATTATATGTATAAATATATTATAAATAATAAAATGTTTTAACTATTATGCATTTAAATAAGAATCAAATATGCATACATATTTAACATACTTTTCTGTTACTTCATAAATAATGACATTTAACTTCATAAATAGGCTACTCTTAAAAATGTGTAAAAAAAAAAAAAAAGCCTCCAAATAAATGTACATATAATACAGTAATAATTTACTTAACAGCTTTAATTTGTTTCTTTACATTTGGTTTATAAAAATGTAATGGCCTAGCAGTGTAGCAAAAACACAATACATTCTAAGAAATAGTGGGTTATTTCAACGCAAATTGGGTAAAATATACAAACCCAAAGATTTGGTTAAATTTGGCCCTATTATTTTAAATTGCTGAGTTATTTAAACCCAAATTGGGTAAAATATGGACTAACCCAAAGATTAGTTTAAATTTGGTCGTATTATTTTAATTTGCTGGGTTATTTAAACCCAAATTGGGTAAAATATGAACAAACACAAATAAATGCTGGGTTATTTAAACCAAAAATGGATAAAATATGGACAAACCTAAAGATTAGTTCAAATTTGGTCACATTTTATTGTTATTTGCTGAGTTATTTAAACCCAAATTGAGTAAAATATGGACAAACCCAAAGATTGGATTAAATTTGGTCCTAATTTTCTAATTTGCTGGGTTATTTGAACCCAAATTGGGTAAAATATGGACAAACCCAAAGATTGGGTTAAATTTGTCCTATTATTTTAATTTGCTGGGTTGTTTAAACCCAAATAAGGCATATAAAATATGGACAAACCCAAAGATTAGGTTAAATTAGGTCCTATTATTTTCATTTGCAGGGTTGTTTAAACCCAAATTAAGGTAAAAACCCAAAGATTAGGTTAAATTAGGTCCTATTATTTTCATTTGCTGGGTTGTTTAAACCCAAATTAAGGTAAAAACCCAAAGATTAGGTTAAATTAGGTCCTATTATTTTCATTTGCAGGGTTGTTTAAACCCAAATTAAGGTAAAAACCCAAAGATTAGGTTAAATTAGGTCCTATTATTTTCATTTGCTGGGTTGTTTAAACCCAAATTAGGGTAAAAACCCAAAGATTAGGTTAAATTAGGTTCTATTATTTTCATTTGCTGGGTTGTTTAAACCCAAATAAGGTAAAATATGGACAAATCAAAGACCTATTGGACCTATTCTTTAATTAAAAATTAACACCCGTTGGGTTAGTCCAATTGCACCCACACTTGGGTTAAAATAAACCAGTTTCCATTTGTGCTACACCCTGTCAGACTGTCCTACCTCCCATTCAAAAAGTAAGTAGCACATTTTGATGACGCAACATGCTACCCATCAGATTTTGCTACCAGTGTAAATATAAGGTGGAGTAGTGTGATATGAAGCTGTAATATGGCCCTAATCTACCTAATCCCAACCTCACAACCATTCAAATATAATGTTAGCAGCATAATCTCACGGGATAACATGTCAAGACACAGCATTTTTAGAGGGTAGAAATCATTAGGTTTTCGCTTGATTTTGTTTTGAAATATATATTTTAGTTAGATATTGCTTATCATAAGAGCTACACATTAGATTGTAATACATTCACGTTTCTAACATGACACTTACCTCAAATTGATGAAGAGGATTGGCAGACCTTCTGCAAATCAGTTCAAAAGAATCACTGGAAAAGAATCGATTCAAACGAACGACTCTTTACAGCACGTTTGCTCTTGAACTCCTCTTTAGTGCTTAAAATAACAAGAGAAAACGTTTGCAATGTTAAGTAGACCTTTTGTAGATTAAAAAAACTTTAATGGTACTTAATAAATCTACATTTGCATTTAGTTATATCTGGCATTTGCTATGTTGATCTGCAAGTATCGCCCTCAAGGGTTAGAAAAACGAATCACAATATTTTCACATCTTAATAAACTTAAACTCACCAGCGTATTCACGATCAATGTTGTAAAAGTAAATACCAAAATCACATACAGGTTTAAAAACAGCTTTTTATTGTCAAAGTGGTTCTGCTATTTACACTATACAAGCTAAATATGCATCACAAATAAAAGCGGTTCACATTTATATACAATATATATACGAATGCACTGAACAATCTATCATATGAACCCGACTGAAGTGATTAAATAGGTGTAAATAATGTAAATAAAACTATGAAGGGAAGAATTCCAGATTATTTGTACCAGATTGTATGCATTACACACTATATGAATCCCAATTCAGAATAATCAGTATTAATTATCGATGAATTTATGCTCAGTCACCTTTGGTTGAAGGAAATATCAAATATAGACAGCAAGGCTATAACTAAAACTACTTTTTAAAATAAAGTATAATAATAAAATTACAATTCAGAATTCACTGTTACCATGATTTAAAAAAAAATAATGATTAAAAAATAAAATAAAATAATAAAGTCTGCGGTCTATTTGACCAACACCTATAATGGAAAAAAGAAAAGATAGGTAGTATCTACAGAGTATCTAAGGTAGATGGTTGCAATACGAGGCACTTTTCTTTTGAATATTTAGACGGTATAATACTCCACAAGCTACATATTAGAATCAAACAATCATGAACAAAGAAAGATTTGCATACTGTAACACATCATTATAATGTTAAATACACTAAAACAATTGCTGTTATGTGTATTTTGTGATCAACAAGCGTTTATTTACAGTAGTGAATTGCATTATGGGAACTTGATTTCTGCTTTGTCGACTTTAATGTGGATTATTCAACTTTACAGTTTAACAAAGTGACTTTTATTGATATTTTAGTTGTTTGAAATACTATAATGTATAAGAAAGAGTCTGTAAAATAACAGAAAAATGTACTGGCTGCTTATTACAAGGTTTTTGTAGCATAATATACACCCCCTGATAAAAGTTGTGTCGCCTACCAAAGTTTGAGAAACAACAAATAATAACTTGACTTTTAGTTGTTCATTTGGTATCAGAAGTGGCTTATATGAAAGACCTCTAGATTACGCTAATTTTACCACAATAAAATATGATCATGCCTTGATTTTAAGAGAGTAAGATCTGACTTTGCTTAGGCAAAAGTCTTGTCACTTAAAATAAATAATGCACAGTACAGAATATAAAGTCCTGCTGCAGTGGAAACAGAATGAATATTGTGTCTGACTCCCATGAGCTTGGAGGACTGCATCCATACATCTCTGCACTGACTTAAATCACATATTAATAAAGTCATCTGGAATGGCAAAGAAAGCGTTCTTGCAGGACTCCCAGAGTTCATCAAGACTCTTTGGATTCATCTTCAATGCCTCCTCTTTCATCTTATCCCAGACATGCTCAATAATGTTCATGTCTGGTGACTGGGTTGGCCAATCCTGAAGCACCTTGAGCTACTTTGCTTTCAGGAGCTTTGATGTGACGGCTGAAGTATGAGAAGGAGCGCTATCCTGCTGAAGAATTTGCCCTCTCCTGTGGTTTGTAATGTAATGGGCAGCACAAATGTCGATACCTCAGGCTGTTGATGTTGCTATCCACTCTGCAGATCTCTCGCACGCCCCCATACTGAATGTAACCCCAAACCATGATTTTTTTCTTCACCAAACTTGACTGATTTCTATGAGAATCTTGGGTTCAAGCTCTTCTGCAGTATTTGTGATGATTGGGATGCAGCTCAACAGATGATTCATCAGAAAAATCTGACACTTTTCCAAATGATCAACTAGAAGTCAAGTTATTATTTGTTGCTCTTACGACTGGGGTCAACAACAAGACTTTTGTCAGGTAGTGTAAAACACCAACCCAAACAATATATCATTTTAAACTATTAAAAATGCTCATAAAAGTCACTTCTCCCAACTTTTCAAGGTTAAAAGTCATTAGCAGAGAGATCAATCTCCCATAATGCAATTGAAAAGCATAAATAAATGTGGAAAAATAAGAACATGAATCACAAAATACACAAACCTGCTCATTTTTACAGTGTAGTGACATTTGCCGACTGACATTGTACTTTAATCTCCATCATAAAGTTCAGTTTGTCTTTTGTCAACAGTACAAACAACACTACAATGTCAGGTCAGGTTATATATACTCCAAATGAATCTGTCATTAGTCTGTGAGGCCAAAAACAAAACTCCTGTTTGCTTACGTGTCAACCGATATCCGCCACTACTAACCTAAGGCACATGATATTATTGTACACTAGGATTGCACAGCATCATCATTTGGCAGAATAAGAACACATTACGGTTTTGAAAGCATCACATGAACCACTGAGAACGAGCAAATACTGAAAACCAAAAAATATTATACTGCTAATAGCAAAACAGGGTCCACAAGTACAAGAAAAGACATGACAAACACACAGATGTGAACTAATAAAACATTTACATGCGAGACACCATCCGAGAGCAGCTTTTAAACTAAATCACTTTGACTTCACTGTGGTGAAATGCTTAAAGAGACCCAAAAATTACAGTTCTGTCATTATATGCTCATCATTCACTTGTTTGATCCTGTATGAGTTTGTTTCTCTGTTGAACGCAAAAGAAGATGCTTAGAAAAATGCTGACTTCCATAGTCTTTTATCCTTCTTACTATAGGATGACTAAGCACACTGAAAAAAATAATGTCTGCAAAACTGGTGCAAGCAATTTATTTGTGTTGAATTCAAACAAACAAATGTAATTTAATACAATTCTACTTAAATTGTTTGTTTAAATTCAGCCCAAATAAATTGTTTACAGCCACTAAATGTAAAAAAAATTGAGTAACTCCAAAGAGTCATTCCTGAATATTTTTTTTAGTGGAGCATTCTTCAAAATATCTTCTTTTGCATTCCACATAAGACAGAAACCACATGAGGAACCTGATTTTTGGGTCATCCATCCCTTTAATATGATGCACAAGAAAATATTTTGAAGAATGCTGCTTAGTCATCCATAGTAACACCCCATTCACACGGGGCGTAAGCGTCAACGCTTCTTATTCACTTTGAATGGGTGACGTCAAGCGTTGCCGAACTGCATTGAGGATCCAATAGGCGCCGCTTCAGAGGCGTTGCTCGCTGCAGAAGTTGGGACTAGCTCAACTTATCAAGCACCGACGGAAGCGTCAGCCAATCAGATCGCTATATGCAAATACACCAGCTAGACAGTGGCCTATTGCTGACTGAATTTCATTGGCTGACGCTGCTATGACGATCGATTTAGCCCCAACTTCAGACACGCCTTCAGTCAAGCGTTGACGCTGAAGCCCCGTGTGAATGGGGCGTAATATTATTGAAGGCAGCATTTTTCTAAATATCTACTATGGTGTTCTAATACAAGGTGGATTACATTTATTTCAAGTGATAGAACAGATATATGATGTACTTAACGGATAATGTTTGAGTACGCAGGCAGCATCAGTATAAACAAAAATGATTAAGAACACGTTTATTGTATTAATACTAGAATATAGACTAATACTCATCCAGTGAACTGCAAAATGTATTCGCTACTTAGAAATAAATATGTTTTTCCCTGTTCAAATCTCTGTGATCAAGGCACGAATGCTAAATATACTGTGAATACTTTAGAAAAACAGAAAATATGCTTGATTATAGAAATCGTTCATTTTGGCACATGGAAATTGTGCAGTACACTGTAAAAAGCGATTAGTTGACTTAGTAAACTCTGCATTAAAATGATTAGGTTAATGAACTATGTGCATACTTAAAACTATTAAGTTCACTTAACTTAATATTTAGAAGTTGCAACAGAAATAATTCACAATCTGTAAGTAAAATCAGGGTTCTTACACCTTATTCCAGCACTTTTCAAGCACTTTCAAGATGCATTTTTATGCTTTTCCAGCACCCAACCACGACAGTTTATTACGTTTATATATGTTGTATGTACTTTTCACATTTAAATCCATTGTCCAATTAAAAAAAAAAGAAAAACACGATAGGACATTTTAAATTAAATTGTTGAATACTTTAGAGCATTGGTTTTAAAGTAAAAAGATAAGGTTACAGAATCTGCTTTTTATCCCTCAAAACACCGAAAGCTTAAGAGAGTTGTGTTTTGAGTCGAGTTGTAAATTGTGTTGTTTCAGCTCATTTTAAATAGTTTGAACAAACAGCAAACGTTATGTTGTGAGTTAAGAATTGAATTATGTACTGTTAAACCAATTAATAACTTTACTCACCCAAAAATGGAATTTCTGTAATCATTTACTCACGCTTCAAAAAATGTGATGTAGTTGTAGGTTTTATTCATCCCAAAATAAATTATTTTTATTTGTTTAATTAAGCATAAATAAATTTATTTTCCTTTTTATTTTCTTAAATGTAATGTCATTATTTAATGTTTTTATATTTCTTTTAATAATATTTAATTTGTACATTTTGTGTATTCCTATCGTTTTATTTTTAATTGTTAAATATAGCAAAAATAAATTATTTGTTTCCTTTTAACTTCCTAAATTTCAAATTATTATTTAATGTTTCTGAATAATTCATTTGTAAGTATTAATTTTAAGTTTTATTATATTTTATTCAGTATGATGTTGTTTTTATTTGATTTTAATAATTTTAATAATTTTAATAACAAATTAATAATTTGTTCTGATTTTAACACTTGTTTTGACTTTCTTTTATATATAATATATATATATATATATATATATATATATATATATATATATATATATATATATATATTTAGAAACCTGCAGCCATTGATTTCAATAGTATTCCCACTTTGAAAGTCAATGGGTACAGGTCTCCAGCTTTCTTCAAAATATCTTCTTTAGTTTTTGACAGAAAAAAGAAACCACACAAGGGTTAATAAATAAAGTAAATAAAAATAATAAAATTTGATAAATTTTGTACATTTTTGGCAAACTATGCCTTTTCGAAAAGTGAGTAAACCTGACATAATTTGGAACATAACTTTTATTGGATTAATTTCTATAATTAGACACATAGTTCATAAACTTAATCATTTTAAGACAAGAGACTTACTCAGTTTAAGTAAAGTCAACTAATCGCTTTTGACAGTCGTGTGTTTCTACAGTACTTGTATCAAGGGTAAAAGCTCTGGATTGATAAAACAGAAAGTGAATAAAAAATAAAGTATAGCAAATCGGAGCAATAAAAGTGTATTTCTACAGAATAAGTGAGGCTGCATTAACCCTTCAATAAATACAAAAGTAATCATTCCACACTGACACAAATATAGTATAATGGACTTCTTTCCGAATTATTGTCATCTGTGGAAATTGGGATTTTTGCTTCGGGTCCCCCGCAACTTTCCCTTCCCACCGCGAGATAGAGCATCCTTTGTGTCAGACAAATACGGATACAAATAAATCATTACTAAACATACGACACACACTCTCATACAAACACACATTCATCAGAGTTTGTCCCCTAGTGGCCGCCGAGAGCACTGCCGCTGCCCGTTGTCCAATCAATAATGATGAAGCTCAAGCTCATTATCATAAACAACACCCCCAATCCAGCAAAACAGGCAGCCTGGAAGAAATATTAAAAAATAGAAAACATTACTGTTAGTAACCAACATATTTCCTGATTTCTGTACAAACTGAAGAGTCCCATCATGTTTTAATTTGTCAGATTTTTTACACTATTATAAATGGAGTTATTGACACCTAATAAAGAAGCAGTTATAACTGAGACAACTTTACATAGGTTTGTAACACATTTGCATAATTCCAGCCTACTGTTTTCATTGGCTGATTTTGTATTTATGCAAAGCAACATGCGCATGCAATTCCAGTCACTAAATGGAGTATCACATGATTGGACTTTTAGCATGGTGAAAACTAATCCCGTCTAATACCATCTAATCCCTTGCATTAATTGAATGATTTTATTAATAAAGGCACTGAAAACAATTTTAGAATTTTAGATTATTTGTTAAACAAATAGATAAGTTGGCAATATTGTATTTATGCTTGTTAAAAACTAGTAAAATGAAAGAATTCAGCTGAAATAAACTAAATATTAAAATTCTACTGAATAAAATTAAATTAAAATTATAATAAATAAACTTAAATTAAATTAAAACATACAAATTAAATATCATTCAAAATATTTTAAAACATATTAAATAAGATTTTCAAATGAATTTAAGAAATAAAAAGGGTAAAATCATGCATGCAAAATTAAAAAATCTAAATAATTAGGAATAAATAAAATACACAAATTACATATTATAAAAAATATATATAAACATATTACATAATAATTTAAAAGAAAAATTTAAGAAATTAAGAAGGGGAAAAAATCTTATGATTTATCTATGCTAAATAAATGTATTAGGAATAAATCAAACTTACAAATTAAGTATTATAAATTAATAAAAATCTATTACATAATTTACAATAACAATGTAAGAAATTAAAACATTAAATGATTTGTTAACGCTAAATTAAACAATCAAATGAGAAATAAATAAAATGTACAAACTAAATATTTCTTAAAAGATTTAAAAACATACTTAATTTAAAATAAAAAATAGGAAATTAAAAATGACAAAATAAACTGATTTATTTATACTAAATTAAACAATAAAAATGATTAGGAATAAATACAACTTACAAATTAAATATAAAAAAAATATATATTTAATTAATTGCATAATTTAAAATAAAAATGTAAGAAAAAAATGATTTATGCTAAATTAAACAATCAAAACATTTGAAATAAATAAAACATACAGATTAAATATTACTCAAATATATATATAAAAAAACATGTTACTTAATAATCTAAAATAAAATGTAAGAAATTAAAAATCAAACAATAAAATTATTTATGTTAAATTAAACAATCAAAATAATTCAGAATAAATAAAACTTACAACGTAAGTATTATAAAAAAAACGTAATAATTTTAAAAAACAATTAAAAATAAAAAGGAAATCAATTATTTGTGCTCAGTTAGACAATCAAATAATTAGGAATAAAACAACTTAAAACTTAAGTATTATAAAAAAACATTACACAATAATTTAAAATAAAATGTATGAAATTAAAAAGAAAGTAATACCTACTTAAACAATCAAAAACGAGAAATAAATAAAATGTACAAACTAAATATGACATAAAACATATATAAAAATGTATTACAATTTAAAATAAAACTTAGGAAATTAAAAAGAAAAAGTTATTTATTCATTTCAGGAGAAAAATGAAATGCAATGTTAATCCTCATCCATTATGATGGGAAGCAGGAAAACAGCTCAGTCAGGAAGTATTGAGACAGATAAAGGGAATAAAGCAGCATTGCCAAAGAAACGAGTTTCAAACTGCGCTTTCTGGGTAGCAATAAATCATCGAAATAAAACTCACAAAGATTTTGGGAGTAGAGCGCATCGGCTCCTTATCCTTGGGAACGATGCGGATGTAGAAAACAGCGGGGAAGATGAAGATCAGACATGGAGCGGATGTCGCACCTGGAGGAGGGAAAAACGAGACAAAATGTAAATGAGCTAATCAGCTGAATACAATTAAAGATGACACTGATGACAATTAAACATGTTGTCTTTGCTGATGAACAGGAGAATGGAAAGGTTGAAGGAAAAGCCTACGTTGGCCAAATATTATTACGGTTTTGTTTCATGGCCATCACAGTAAGATTTGTGGGTTATTTATAGACTGGTTTGAGGAATGTAAACAATAACAAGTGTCCTAACGTTATTTCCGTTTTACATTTTTTATACATTTTTACATTTTTATTCTATGTGTCAGCTAAAAAATCTTACCGGGCAGGTGAGCAACTGACCCAGGCTTTACAACACATTTCAAGATGGCTTGAACTGTCTCATCTAACGTTGAATGTCAAGAAAACAGTTTCTATGTGTTTTTCTAAAAGAAATAAGCATGTAAGGGATACATTTGAGGTGCTGATAAAAAAATAAAGTAATTAAAGAAGTAAATGAATTTAAGTATCTTGGCATAACTCTAGACATTCTTTTAAAATTTGATTGTCATGTTAAAATATGAGTAAGAAAGTTAAGCCAAGTCTAAACTGTTTTCGTTTTATTAGAAGGTTTTTAACATATCACACTGCAAAATTATACATGCACACAATGATATTCTCTCACTTGACGTATTACATTACATCCTGGTCACAAGCCTCTTTAACTACATTGAAGCCTATTGACTCAATATATAAACAAGCAGTTAAAATTATGGAGTTAAAGCCTATGTGATGGCATCATTGTGATGTTTTATGTAAATATAACCTTTTTAGTTTTGATAGTTTTATTCAATTTAGTTATCTTAAATTGGTTTTTAAATAATCACGTTCCAATCCTGTTTTCTGAGCTAATCTATTGGTATCAAACCTCCCACAGAGTTACACGGGCAACTGCTGACTGGTGACTGTCTAGTGCCAAAGTGCAAGACCTCGTCTGGTCAATCTGTCTTCTCTGTAAAGGGAGTCAAACTGTGGAATGATTTACCGGTTAGCTTAAAATCAGAAAGTAATATAAATATTTTTAGTAGTGCTCTTAAAAAGTGGTTAAAAACAAAACAGCAGTGTTTGCACAAATAGTCTATGGTTAGTTGGTTGGATCATGTCGCCTTTGCTTTGGCCTGCAGTAATTGTATGTAAAGAATTGTAATGTTGTGTATGTTTTTATTATATTTCCATTTTGTCCATTTTAAGCCTCCTGTGGACAGGTGTTGAGATTTAGCAAGTTTGCTAAAACACTTAAACAAATGCATTTGGTTGTCCAGTGTAATTGTGATGTCCGTCAAATAAATAAATAAATAAAATTTATTTCCATAGCTTCCGAGAATCCTATAAAAAAGTCCACATGTTGATAAATTACATTATGACAGCTGTTTTAATGTTGAGATATGATTGAATTGCCTCTTGGTACAGTTATTAAAACAGTTTGACAACAAGTAGGAAATGTTTATGGGCCAATGGCATCAACACATTGAAATAGTTTACAGCAGGGGTTCTCACGGTTTTTCATTTCAGGGCCCGCTTCCTTCTCCCATCAATTTTTGAAGGCCCACTTGTCTGACATTTTCTCTGAAATGTTTGTATGAAGGGTTGTTGTACCTTCTGTTATTTTCTTTTATCAGCATTTTATAAAAAATATATATACATCTTACTTAAATTTAATTATATGTAAAACTAACACTATTTATGTACATTTATATAAACAACAACAAAACATAAATAGATTCAGAGAGAACCACAGGTCAACAGGGAGACTGCAAAAGAGCAGCTTCTGCTTTAAACTGACCGACTGAGTATCTACTAATAAATATATACTATTCAAAAATATACAGACAAATGTAAAATACAGTAAAACACACTAAATCTGTTGAAACATGTCGATCTGATGGCGGTTGTGTTTGCAGCTGGATATTATTAAAAGATTGCTGACAGGAACAGTGAACAGCTCCGCCAGAGCACATCTGAAGCTCATATGCATGTTTACTACAGTCTATGGGAGAAACAGCAATGAGCCTCGCTAGATCCTCCTGTATGGGCTTGCATACGTTATAAAACACTCACAGGACATTAATTTGGACAACTATGCAGATATATTAAATAGTTCACACAAAAATACACACAGAGACTTCCACTTTCACTTTATACATAGTTTGTGAATGAACAGACATACGAGTACTAGTTGCGGATGCAATGCCGGGTTTGAAGTAATCAATCAGAGAACAGGAGAAAGTGCATTACTTCACGGCCCTCCGGTTGAGAATCCCTGGTCAATAGTCTATATTTAATCATCTTTAAAAATATTAGCTAGTAACTAAGGTCCAATCTCAATTCTACCACCTTAGCCTTTCCCCTTACCCCTACCCCTCGTTTTGCGAGTGCCCGTGAAGGGGTAGTGGTGTCCTAATTCTCTTTAGCTTGAAGGCGTAGGGCTAAGGGCAAGGGGTATACACCCCTTCAAACGAAGATTTTTCAGGACCACACTTGAAACCAAGGAGTAAAAATTTCCCAGAATACATCAGCCACAGCTGCACCCAGAAATAAGGAGATCCACTAACTAGTATTTTTTGTCATTATTACGATTTTTTACAACAAACAAACACAAAAAAAAAAAAAAAACGCTAAAATAAAAACCACTAAATTTCCCGATCTATAATCCCTAATAATAACTTCTGTACAGCAGTCCCACAACATTCTGACACTCGATGACACTGGAATACCCTGTCAGAAAAGTCTAGTGGCTGTCGATAGGCTTTTTACAGTGTCTGCTATAATTTTAATGTTGTTTTTGGAGTGTTTATAATAATGAATATGGCCATTGTGTAAATGCACAGTACTGTTATGATCTTATTGCCACATTAAATCATTATGATGACGTGATATATGCCTTCAGTGATTTCCTGAAGATAAATACCAAAAAATAGCACAACTGGAATCACTACAGTAGTCGCCATCGTCTGATCTCATATGAAGCAAGAGATCGCGAGCACATATGATGACGTATGCAGGTGATGTAGTGCTGTCCCAATTCTTAGGGGTAAACTTTGATGTTCTCCCTTTAACCCTCGGTTGTAAGGGCCAAGGGGAAGGCGAAGGGGTAGGGGTACAAAAATAGAATTGGGATTGGGCCTAAATCTGGGAAGCACCTCAAATGACAAAAAAAAAATTACTATTTAATAAAACTGAAGGGCGACGCAGTGGGTAGCACATTATATTTATATTATATTTATATTTAGTCATTTAGCAGACGCTTTTATCCAAAGCGACTTACAAATGAGGACAAGGAAGCAATTTACACAACTAAGAGCAACAATGAATAAGTACTAAAGGCAAGTTTCAGGTCTGTAAAGTCTAAGAAGGGAAGTATTAGTAGTATTAGTATTTTTTTTTTTGTACAGTTAGTGTGATATTCAAAGAGGCAATTGCAGATTAGGAAGTGAAGTGGAGACTAAATAGTTGAGTTTTTAGTCGTTTCTTGAAAATAGCGAGTGACTCTGCTGTTCTGATGCAGTTAGGGAGTTCATTCCACCAACTGGGCAGATTGAGCGTGAGCGTTCGCGAAAGTGATTTTTTCCCTCTTTGGACAATTAGGATCGCCTCACAGCAAGAAGGTCGCTGGTTTGAGCCTCAGCTGAGTCAGTAGGCATTTCTGTATAGTTTGCATGTTCATGTGGGTTTCCTCCAGGTGTTCCAGTTTCCCCCACAGTACAAAGACATGTAGTATAGGTGAATTGAATAAACTAAATTGGCCATAGTGTTCTGAATAAAATTCAATTTAACTTATTGAAAATAAAAATAAACTTAAAGGTTGCAAATTAAATAAAATATAAAACCCAAATTAAATGACAAAAAATGCAAGAAATTACATTTAATGAAAAAGTCAAATTAAAAATGTAATAATTATTCAAGCTAAATTAAAACTAATCAAAATTATAATTGTAATTAAATACGGAATTAAATAATAAAGTAAATATTTTACCTACAAATTAAATAAATGTGTGTTTAACTTTGATATAAGATAAAAACTTTTAATGCATTTACCACATTTCTTTCTTTGTCTTTTTAGCCAAATCCTAAAATAGCCTAAAAATACTTTATAACATTTTCCTCCAAAAATATTAGCCTTTCGGTTACATTTTCAGTTCATCGCCATTACATTTACAGCTAAAAAGAGCATAAACAAATTGTAAAAAGTGTTTCATATCATTGATTTGTTTTGTTTTGTTTTTCACCAAATGAAACCTTTACACTCACCGTTTTTCCAAGTAATATAAGGTAAAACACAAAAATATTGATTAAACAGCACAACATTTTCTGTTCTAAGAAGTGACGTTTGAAGCTCAAGGCCAGAAACACAAGAGTCAGAGTCCTTTATCCACACCGAGAAAACAACACCAACAGCGTGACTCTTTCCTTTGCCGTTTCAGACGCCTGTTGGACCGCTGAATTGTTTCCCTCATATTTCCATGTTCTCAGAAAGCACATTTTTGACCAGTTACAGTTGAAGTCAAAATTATTAGCCCTCCTATGAATTTGTTTTTCTTCTTCAAATAAATGATGTTTAACAGATTCAGGAATATTCACAGTATTTTCTAAAATATTTTTTCTTCTGGAGAAACTCTTATTTGTTTTATTTTGAAAATGTTTTATATTAAATTTTTTTTTTATTATTTGGGTCTCAGGAGGATATAAATAACATACCCTGCCATGTAATCGCTGCAGTTAAATCTCTGTCTTGTTTAGCAATAATCTAAGTATTTACTGGTGTTTTAGCAGAATAAACAACCGTAACGTGAACAACATAGATGCAGCAGAGGTGAATGTTTGTTGATGGTAAGTTCGTCAACAGAATAAAAAAGAAATGCAATCATTACGACAAAACTTAGACAGTTAATATTGAGGATCACAATCCCCTTATCCAAACGCCTTTGTGTGCTTTCATCCACAGGAGGAGTGGGCGGGTCTGCAATCAGTGCCTCCATGGCTGCAGGACCAGATGCCGGCCCGCCCTAATCGGACTGTATCCATATCCCCTGTTCCCATCCCCTGTGTCAATGTTGTGTCTTGTCTTAAACTTGTTTAATTTCACTATAAGAAAGTGTATGTGACAAATAACGGCCTGATTTGATGTCTTCCACTCAGTTTTTTACTTCATGCTCTCCATCTGAATTTCAGATGTCACCAGAACCACATAATTGAAAACAGCCTATTTACCTTCGACCCACCATTCTTAATCAAGTTTAGTTTTTGGTCCTTCATAAGAAAACATTTGCACAACCCTAATCTAAATTTTGAAGCAGAGAGGATTGAAAAACTCACCAATGATGCCAAAGATGCCCAGGATGTTGGGAGCGAAGATGACCAGCATGTTAATAAGTGTCAGGAGAACGACAGCGATGGCGATGTGTCGGATCCAGTTGAAGCTTTTATTAGGAAAGGCCATCTCCTGAATGGCTCTCCGCACCTTTGAAAAGAAGGAAAATTAAGATTTATTTCATCCTTGACTATCTTTAAAGGGATAGTTCACACAAAAATCTAAATTCTCTAATCATGTAGAGAATTTTACATTTTAAGTTTCTTTCTTCTGTTGAACACAAAGGTAGATATACTGAAGATAGTTGTAATCAAAAAAGCCATTAGATATGTTTTTATTCACCTATTTTATGCATATTTATTTATAAAAAAAATTAAATGGTGACCTATTATGCAAAAATCTCTTAATAAGAGGTTTAACGTGTGTGCATATAGCCATCCTCTAATGGTAATTTTTTTTTATAATCCCGCTTTATGAAAACAGTCTGCAGAAACACTTTGATTGACATTCTCCCTTTGTACATGTCATCAGAGGGGGAAAGCCCCGCTCATTAGTGACCATCTCTCTATCATAAGCAGCCCTGAGTGAGAAGCAGCCGTCCACCATTAGAGTTTTCACCTGCTTAAGATAACGGGCAGATGGTTTTTTTTTTTCTATTATCTGACCGGCGCAGGTGTCATTTTCACATTTTGCACCACTTTGTTTAAATAGTAAATGCATTTGCATCACTTTGTGGACTCATAGGTGTGTTGGTCTGAAAAGGAGGTGTGTTAAGGCGCATTGTTGGCAGGTTGCTATTTTTAGGAAACTGAAATAGACCACACCCTTGACCAACAAAAAGCTGCTTTAAAGTCCAGCGGAGAGTTTTTCCTATTTAATAAATGATAATCTGTGTCTAGAAAAAAATGAAAGAATTAAAATATTAAGCAAATTAGTATTTTTTTAAAATACAGTGGGGAAAATAAGTATTGAACACATCACCATTTTTCTCAGAAAACGTATTTCTAAAGGTGCCATTGACATGAAATTTTCACCAGATGTGAAATGACACAGAAAAGGTGTTGAACACATGAAGAAAGGGAGGTGTAGAAAGGCAGTGAAAGCCCAGAGGGTAGCTGAAATCTCTCAGTTGCTCTTCGGCAACCCTCTGCCCTTCTTCAGTGTAAATGAATATCAGCTGCTTCAGTCCAACATCTACATTAGCAGGAGGATGACCATGAAAACAGGGATTTGCAGATTTGCTGGACGAGACCCACAGAATCATCAGGATTTTTACACTCTGTTGAAGTCTGTGAAAAACTCACACCTGAGCAATGCATGTGACTTCGTTCTCCATATGAGAGGCATCTTTAAGCTGCCATCACCAAAAAAAGCCATTCATATAAAGTATTAAATAAATTTCAGTAGTTCAGCACTTTCCCCTTATGTCATTTCACTGTTATTAAACACATAATTTTTTCAGAGAGTTATTTTTTTTTGTTTTATTTTTATATTTGTATTGTTTGGGATTTTACCAGAATCTGGATCAATTGCATGTCAACGGCTCCTTTAGAAATATACTGAATACCTTAATTTGTTTTTTAAAAAAGAGTAAGTAAATGAGGAAATTTCCATTTTTTGGTGAACTATGCCTGTCTGCACAGCAAAATCTGACTTCATACACCATGCATTCATCTGTGTGGGCAAGATGAGTCAACATTTTACATCACAATATATCAAAATATGCCTATTTTTTGTATTCTACTTCACATAAAGATCATGTATTACATAAGTAATTTTCAATCTTAGATTCTCAAGATTTTCCAAGACAAAATTCAAAGACCCTGTAACAATAAAACAGCTTCTTTTTAAAATACTTTTGTTTGTTTGTTTGTTTGTTTGTTTGTTTGTTTGTTTGTTTGTTTGTTTGTTTGTTTGTTTGTTTGTTTGTTTGTTTGTTTGTTTGTTTGTTTGTTTGTTTGTTTATGAGCTTAACTGTGGATCAAGAAAACGTTTCACAAGACAATCCCCAAAAACACTGCTGACTGCTATAAACAGCATATAAAATCCTGGGTAAACTCACATATCACTACAATTTCTACATAATATAATTCAGATCTTTACATATCTAGAAATAAAATTTAAAATTATTTTCTAAGAATGTATTAATTTGCACAACTTTTGCACGTCTACAAATAACATTTTAAAAATACCCGTATAGATATCCAGGTTTCCCAAAACTGTAAGAGCAATGCATGGTTCTTCAGTAGCAAAATTAAAATGAAGTATAACTATAACTTAAAATCTATTAAAAAATTAAATAAAACAAAAATTAATTGAAATTAATTAAATTTTTTTAAAAATAATTAAATAAAATAAATTGACATTTATAAATTAAAATATATGTAAAAATATAATAAAATAAACAGAGGTTAAAATATGAATGCATAAATATATATATATTATTTTTTCAAAAATAACTATTTCTCTATCCTTTTAAAAATGTATAGTAAAAGAATATTGATAACCTTTTTATACTATTTTTTCCCCAAGTATTTCAGTGGCTTGGATATTTTTCCACACTAATAATATGTTTTTAGAGCTAAAATCCTCCACAAAAAAATATTTAAAAGTAAGGTTTATATCCAGATAATTAGCTGCATTATTTTATTTAACCCCTATTTCAAATCATTTTAAGAAATGACATTTGAAGTGTACCGAGGCCCTCTAGTGGGTCCCGAACCCCTGGTTATGATCCAGAGCATTACATAACCTCACAGTAATGATTTAGTTAATCCAGTGAATTCAATACTTCACAAATAAAAGGAAGTTTATCTTATCTCTTGCTTATTTTGCATTCGTGGCATGTTACAAAAAGTCTCAATTTAAATCGTTTAAACCAGTTCCTATCTGAGACTTTACAGCTAGCTAAAAGGGATAGCTCACACCAAAATTTAAATGTACTCACTATTTACTATTTACTCACCCTCCAAAGTGTTTTTTTTCTGTAGAACACAAAAGAAGATATTTTGAAAACATCTCCTTTAGTGTTCAACAAAAGATAGAAACTCTTAAAGGTTGGAAACGAGTAAAATGATGATAGGGTTTTTTCTGTTTTAGGTGAACTATCCCCTTCAAACAAAAATCTGAAATCTAAAACTTCATATTTGCTTTATTTATTTATTTTTGCATATTTGCAAAATGAATATGATCTAAAATAACTAACATGTAAAAAAAACTATTCATTTAATCTAACTGAAAAGTGAATATCTAATATTTTTTAAATTAGCTTAACGTGATGTAATCTATAATAAAATACATTATTTGCAAATCAAATGAAAACAACAGCAACGTATCACAAAATTACCAACATTTCACTAATCTGAAAATGAAAACCAATTATGTATATTAAAGAAAGCTATTAGTAAATACATTCTTCAGTAAAGAGTCTTGGTGTCATCTTTGACTCTGAGCTAAAATTTGATCGGCAAATTATTGCGGTTGTCAAAAATAGTTTTTGTCTATTTTAGATATATTGCCAAGCTGAAGTCTGTCCTCTCTTTCAGTGATTTGGAGAAGGTTGTTCATGCTTTTATCTCTTCTCGTCTGGACTATTGCAACGCATTGTATCTGGGTGTGAGTCAGTTCTCTCTCGCGCAACTGCAGCTAGTCCTCAACGCAGCTGCTAGGCTCTTAACAGGCACAAAAAAAAAAACGAGAACACATTACACCTGTACTTGTTTCTCTACACTGGCTGCCAATCCAGTTAAGAATTTTGTACAAAGTTCTGTTGTATGTTTATAAATCCCTCCATGGTCTGGCCCTGAGTATATTTCTAAACTAATTATGATGCACCAACCAGTGAGATCTCCGCTCTATGGATCGTCTCTATTTGCAAGTTCCACGATCACGCCTAAAATGTTGGGGTGATAAAGCTTTCTCGGTAGCAGCTCCGAGACTTTGGAACGATCTTTCCACTCTCTTTAAGAACAGCTCAAACTTTTGAGTCTTTTCAGAGTTCACTGAAAACACACTTATTTTTTTTAGCTTTTAATCATGTGATGTGAGTTTACGTATTTTGGTTTTATGTATTTTTACATGCGTTTTATGTAAAGCACTTTGGTAATCATTGTGGTTTGTGGAAGTGCTATAGAAATAAAGTGAGTTGAGTTGAGTAGTAAATCCTGTAACAGCATCCAAATTATACTAAAACAACACCGGTGTGCATCTGCATTATAGTTTGCAGAGTTGTTTTACCATTATTATAATTATTTGGTGTACAGTTTTTTTTTTTACTCTTTTATGTTAGTCAAACTAAAATGTGAAATCAAATCTGCATTGCAATTTGAAGACAACAATTTAAAAAATAATACCTAAATTAACTAGCTCATCAATATTTTAGAACAATTATTTCCTCTGACTTTTAAAAACTAAAAAGTATAAAAAAAACATTATTACTATTATTTTTCCCCAATTAAGTATTTCAGCTGTTCACTATTTATATGTTTTCAGATCTAAAGTCCACCCAAAAATTTATCATTAAAAAATCTGGTTTATATCTAGATATTTAGCTGCATTATCTTATTTAAAATTAGTGATAGAGTACATTATTTGCAAATAAAAATGTGAATGCATAACAAAATTACCAATATTTACCTAATCATAAAACTCAAATTAGGGCGTTCCCTGCGTTCGCGTGGGTTTCCGTCGAGTGCTCCGGTTCCTCCACAGTCCAAAGACATGCGGTACAGGTGAATTGGGTAGGCTAAATTGTTTTTGGTGTATGAGTGTGTGTGTTTGTGTGAGTGTGTGTGTGTGTGTGTGTGTGTGTGTGTGTGTGTGTGTGTGTGTGTGTGTGTGTGTGTGTGTGTGTGTGTGTGTATATGTGTGTGTGTGTGTGTGTGTGAATGTTTCCCAGAGATGGGTTGCGGCTAGAAGGGCGTCTGCTGCGTAAAAACGCGCTGTGTAAGTTGGCGGTTCATTCCACTGTGGCAACCCCAGGATTAATAAAGGGACTAAGCCAACAAGAAAATGAATGAATGAATAAATAAATAAAACTTAAATTGTTAATAAATAATAAAGAAAGCTATTATTAAATCCTGTAAAAGCATCTCAGTTAGACTTAAATAACACTGATGTTCATCTGCATTACAATTTGTAGATCAGCCTGTTGTTCATTCATTCATTCATTCATTCATTCATTCACTTTTCTTCAGCTTAGTCTCTTTATTCATCAGAGGTTACTACAGCAGATTGAACTGCCAACTTATTCAGCATATGCTTTACAAAGCAGATGCCATTCCAGCTGCAACCCAGTACTGTTAAAAATCCATAGACACTCATTTACACACATACACTACGGCCAATTTACCTAATTCAATTCACCTATGGCGCATGTCTTTGGACTGTGGGGTAACTCAGAGCACTCAGAGAAAACCCACACCAATACGGGGAGAACATGCAAACTCACTGAAATCAAATCTGCACAGCACAATCTGTCCATAATGTGTGGATGTGAAACTCACTGGGAACAGAACGATGGGCACAGTCAGTGTGACGGCGGTGAGAACAGCCAATCGCACACAGAGGATGAGTGTGTCGTATGGGTCGATCCTGCTGTAAGTGTGCAGGAGCTCAGGCTCAACATTCGCTGTGGAGAAATAAAGAAATCGCTCAGCTTAACCTGCAGTTTTATTTTGATTAAACACTGCATACAGATACAGTTGAAGCCAAAATTATTATTTGCCCCACTTTGAATTTTTTAGTTTTTTCAAACATTTCCTAAATGATGTTTAACAGAGCAAAGAATTTTTTCACAGCATTTCCTTAATATTTTTGTTTTATATCGGCTAGAATAAAAGCAGTTTTCAATTTTTTTGAGCCATATTAAGGTCAATATTATTAGCCCCCTTAGGCAATATATGTTTTTCCATTGACTACAGAACAAACCTGTTATACAATGACTTGCCTAATTACCCTAACTTTCCTAGTCAACATAATTAACATAGTTAATCCTTTAAATGTCACTTTAAGCTAAAAACTAGCATCTTGAAAAATATTTTCAAATATTATTTACTGTCATCATGGTGAAAATAAAATAAATCAGTTATTAGAGATGAGTTATTAAAATTATTACATTTAGAAATGTCTTGAAAAAATCGTCTCTCCGTTAAAGGTGCAGTATGTAAGTTTGACACCCAGTGGCTGAACTAGGTATTGCACTCCTGGTTTAAAACACAGGTAAGTGCAGGTCGCCAGATTGATGACATCAACAGGAGCTTGACTATCGGCCCTTAAGGCTGATTTAAGACATGTGCTAAGTAAAAGCAACTATTTCTATTTCTTGCCGTTGAACAACTGGATAAACTGACAGTGATTAAGTACACCTCATGTGCTTTATTAAGTGTTAAATGCTAATAATGTGTGTTTGAATACCAATTTTACATGACATTTATTACCATACTACTGAAAGCAGCAGCAAATAGTTCACCTCAAATCTAGAATATAAAATTTTTTTAAAGTTTGAAATTAAACTTTGGAACTGAGACTCAGTGCAAGCCAACACATATCAGTTACTTAGCATGTACATTTAATAATTTTAAAGACGTTTAATGTGTATTAATTAGATTATAGACCTTACCATATTGTTGGAGTGCAGTAAGTGCACTATTCTGTGCTTCCGAATGGCTGCATTTAAATTTCTGTCGTGTTTCGTCTGGTGTGAACAGTCAAAATTGCTCATCACTGCCTCATCATGTAGTGTGTTGTTAGGACACAGGGTTAAAATGTAACTAGCTCACCTAATGTTTACACTCGTAATATTTATATAATCTGCTAATTAATAACCATCTCATGTGGAACTCTGAATCTGCATCTCGTTTTGAAGTCTGCTACTGTCCATCGGAGGTCGCATTTTGGTCACGGACGAATACATTGAGTGCCTTTCTGAATGAATGAATGAATAAAATACTCAGTTTTCCACCAAGGCAACCCAGGGTGCTGGATTATAATTGGCTGAAGTGGTAGTGGGCGAGTTAAAACCAAAACAAAGACAGCGTTCCGGCACGTAACTCACATTTTCAAAGCAGAATATCTTCAGTATTGTATTGCAGATAAAAAAATAACATTCACTTAGCATGTTTCTTAAATATCTGCAAATATATAATATTTTTTTATTATTTAGAAGAGTCAAAAACTTACACACAGCACCTTTAAACAGAAATTTGGGGAAAAATATAGTGGGGGGCTTATAATTCAGGAGGGCTAATAATTTTGACTTCAATTGTACATACTCAGGTCTAAATAATCAAAACACAGAAATAACTATAAGAAAATCATTACTTTATAGATTTACAGTACATTAGTACATATGCAGAGACTGAAAATCTGCAATAAAATGTAAAGTCCTACAGTAGTATGTGATTTTAAGTATGCTGCTTAAGATAATATATGATGTATGCATAATTCAATGCAAAAATGAACCAGATGCATCTAATATTCAGCAAAACACTTGTATTAAATATAAAAGAGTTAAGCTTACTGTAAAAGGTTAGGTATCCAAACAGAGCAGCAAGAAAGTACATAGTGTACATGATCAGAATGGAAATGTTGGAAACGTGCTGCATCTTCTTCTGTGTTGGGCTGCAAGGGAGAAATAACATGAGATTCCAATTCAGTTTATATGGATAAAAACAACTACACAAGTACAGGGCTGCTTTAAATGGCATGAGTTTTGCACATCAGGTTTGTTTCATTGCACGTTTATTGGATGAAATGTGAAATCTGATAATCTGGATAATGTGAAATCTGCAACCAAGCATTTGAAAAGACTGTTTATGACTTAAGGGGATTAGGGCTGTGCATTATATCATTTATATATCGGGTGTCATAAAATATATTGGTAACTGTAATACTTTTTCATAATTTGTATGAGGGCAATACCACACACTGCTAAGGAAATGCAGACAGAAATAGGAATTACAGTTACTTTTTTTATAAATAATAATATAATAATAATAATAATAATAATAATAATAATAATAATAATAATAATAATAATAACAATCATAATCATAATCATAATCATCATCATCATCATCATTTTGCATTTTATTTAGCGATTATTGTGTGTGCTGGACCTATAATCTTAAGTTTTTTTTAAAATGTTTTATAATATATAAACATCTATTTATATATTTCTACATTTTTAATCCAACATTTGCCCTGAAGTTGTAAATAAAGTGAGAAATATGATCGCATATGAATGAGTACTTTAACATGTAAATAAGTATTTTACATGTTGTCAATATACACTCACTGGCCACTTTATTAGGTACACCTTACAAGTACCGGGCTGGACCCGATTTTGCCTTCAGAACTGCTTTAATCCTTTGTGGTATAGATTCAAGAAGATACTGGAAATATTCCTGAGATTTTGGTCCATATTGACATGATGCGAATCTCCTGTTCCACTACATGCCACAGGTGCTCTGTTGGATTGAGATCTGGTGACTGTGGATACCATTTGAATACAGTGAACTTCATGTTCAAGAAACCAGTATGAGATGATTCACGCTTTACGACATGGCGCATTATCCTCCTGGAAGTAGCCATCAGAAGATGGGAACACTGTGGCCATAAAGGGATGGACATGGTCAGCAACAATACTCAGGTAGGCTGTGACGTTTGCAAAATGCTCAGTTGGCCAAGAAAATATCCCCCACACCATTACACCATCACCACCAGCCTGAACTGTTAATACAAGGCAGGATGGATCCATGCTTTCATGCTGTTGACGCTAAATTCTGACCCTACCATCCGAACATCACAGTACAAATAGAGACTCATCAGACCAGGCTATGTTTTTCCAATCTTCTATTGTTCAATTTTGGTGAGCCTGTGTGAACTGTAGCCTCAGTTTCCTGTTCTTAGCTGACCAGAGTGGCACCTGGTGTGGTCTTCTGTAGCCCATCTGCCTCAAGGTTGAACGTGTGGTGTGTTCTGTTCAGAGATGCTCTTCTGCAGACCTCGGTTGTAAAAAGGGGTTATTTGAGTTACTGTTGCCTTTCTATCAGCTGGAACCAGTCTGGCCATTCTCCTCTGACATCTGGCATCAACAAGGCATTTGCGCCATCAGAACTGCTGCTCACTGGATATTTTCTCTTTTACAGACTATTCTCTGTAAACCCTAGAGATGGTTGTGCGTGACAATGCCAGTAGATCATCAGTTTCTGAAATACTCAGACCAGCCCGTCTGGCACCAAGAACCATGCCATGTTCAAAGTCACTTAAATCCCCTTTTTCCCCATTCTGATGCTCGGTTTTAACTGCAGCAGATCATCTTGATGTTGTCTACATGTCTAAATGCATTGAGTTGCTGCCATGTGATTGGCTAAAATTTGCAGTAAGGAGCAGTTGGACAGGTGTACCTATTAAAGTGGCTGGTGAGTGTATAGAAACTATTATTTGATTGACTTTGCAGAAATGCTACTATATCGAGATATATCGGTATCAGGATATGAGCTGACTAACTAAAATTTAAAAAATTGCACATTTTTATAGTTATAGACTTTTTTTACACATACTTCTGTTCAAACGAACTAAATTGTGCACAATAGCTTTTTTTCAATGCATTGGAGAAGGGTCTGGCTGCAAAAAGGGTGATAATGCAAGCTGAGCTAGATGCAATGCTATTAATGCGCACACCTCACCCCGCCCCTAAACCTACCCCTCACAGTGACTTCACTAGCTCCATTGAGTACATTGTGTCTGAGACTGCATGTCAAAGACTGCATATCTCATCTTGCATTTGCACGTCTGCAGTCAGATACTACTGATGCATTCAACCTACTTGCGGAGCTCTGTGTAGATGGGCAGGACCTCAGGGTGGCAGACAAAGGCAAAGGCCAGGATGGGGATGGTGTAAGCAGTCTGTGGGACAAACAGAGGTGTTTCAGTTGAAGTAAAGGCTGATTTTAAAAGCACAGATGAAAATGTGCTGCTTTTTCAGAGTCATATTGAACAGTGCATCGTCACCTGTGAGTTGACAGTGAACATCTGTGGGTGGCAGTGCGAGTCGTCCTCCATCACATGACTGTTATGGTAGGCGTGGTCTACTGTGATATTTGAGTGGGCGTGAGTCAGCGTGCTATTGGCCGAGAACTCCTCGAATGGGCACAGGATCTGAAACTTCTTATAAATCACCTGAAAATAAAGACAATGGTGTTAAAGGTCTTTTGAAATTAAAAAGCCTTAAAGGTCTTATAAAATATTGTTTTTAAGATGTTAATTAGTATCAGTATGTTAGTTTTAAGGATATCTATAGGCTAGTGTGCGACAAAACAGTCGCAATATTGTATGAATGAATGAATGGAAATATTGGACGGATGGATGGATGGATGGATGGATGGATGGATGGATGGAAAGACGATGAATGGATGGAAAGACAATGGATGGATGGAAAGACAATGGATGGATGGATGGATGGATGGATGGATGGATAGATGGATGGAAAGACGATGAATGGATGGAAAGACAATGGATGGATGGAAAGACAATGGATGGATGGATGGATAGATGGAAATAAAGGATGGATGGGTAGCTGGATGGATGTAAATGTTGGATGGATAGATGATGGATGGATGAAAATTTTGGATGGATGGGTAGATGGATGAATGGAAATATTGGATGGACGGATGGATAGATATATTGGATGGATGGATGGAAATGTTGGATGGACGGATGGATAGATATATTGGATGGATGGATGGAAATGTTGGATGGATGTATAATTGGAAATATTAGATGGATGGGTGGATGGATGGAAATATTGAATGGATGGATGGATAGATAGATGGATGGATGGAAGAATGGATATTTTAGGTTGATGGATGGATGGATGGATGGAAGAGAATGGATGGATGGAAATGTTGGATGGATGGATGGATAGATATATGGATGGATGGATGGAAATGTTGGATGGATGTATAATTGGAAATATTAGATGGATGGGTGGATGGATGGAAATATTGAATGGATGGATGGATGGATGGATGGATAGATGGATGGATGGAAGAATTGATATTTTAGGTTGATGGATGGATGGATGGATGGATGGATGGATGGATGGATAGATATATTGGATGGATGGATATATTGGATGGATGGATGGATGGAAATGTTGGATGGATGTATAATTGGAAATATTAGATGGATAGATAGATGGATGGAAATATTGAATGGATGGATGGAAGGATGGATATTTTAGGTTTATGGATGGAAATTTTGGATGGATGGATGGATGGATGGATGGATGGATAGAAATATTGGATGGATGTATAATTGGAAATATTAGATAAATGAATGGATGGATGGATGGATGGATGGATGGATGGATGGAAATATTGGATGGATGGAAATATTGGATGGATTTATAATTGGAAATATTAGATGAATGAATGGATGAATGGTTGGATGGACGGATGGAAGGATGGATGGAAATATTGGATGGATGGACGAACTGATATATTGGATGGATGGATAGATGAATGGATGGATGGAAATATTAAATAGATGGATTGAAGCAAATTTTAAAAATCTTTACGCATTTACACAAAACCACTATAAATAAATACATTTCTGAATGATTTATGATAAATTTATGAATGATTGCTGTGCATGAATGCCAATGTGATTTATCTGTTTTTCTATAACTGAATACTTAATTTAGCAAATCTTCATGTGAAGAACATTTTATTAATCTGAAAACTCATTTCCAATAACATTAACATTTTGTGCAACAGATGTTTTTCATGTAACAATAAATTACAATAAAGAATCTTTATGTTTTTAAGAGTATGAGTTTAACATATATATAACCCCAGTCAGCAGGTCAAAAACCCATTCAAACTCTTCAAAATGTGCCAAACAGTCCATGATACACACATTAAAGAACACCTCCACATTTATGCAGAGCGAGAGTGTGTGTGCGACCAATTAAACGCATCAGTCGGCTTCTTTTGAAGTCAGTCTGAGTCACTATTTCATTAGTCAGCACTGCTGTGTGTAGATATGATATAACGTGTGCGCAGTATATTCCTTCCTCTAAAACACCTCTGGGAAATATGTAGCAGGCCAACTGTTATGTGAATCTCTGAATCAGCAAGCTCTCAATTACATTTTACAGATCCAAGCAGCTTCAGCTAAATAAATCTATTTTAATTTGATTTTTTAGCATAAGAAAATAAACAATAAAAAAAAAACATTGTTATACGAAAAAACTGTATCTTTTTATTTCTAATACAGGAGTTTGATAGCTTGATATTGGTTTTGCACTATTGCACTAAGACTCAAATGCATTTTGTTTTCATAATAATGATAAAGACAATGGCTAATACTTACTGCACTGAGGAAGAAAACCATGCAGCTGAGTGAAAAACCACTGGAATATCCGAGATAACCTGAAAATGCAAATATAGCAAAGCATGTTAAAAGCACGTCAATAACGCTATTGTCAATCAATATGTAGCTTGCGTGCATTCAAGGCTGAAATAGCGGCAACTGTAAATGCATGTGCTAAGAAAAGCACAGCAAGTTACAGCTCATCTCAAGAGCTAATCTCTGCTGACAGAACCCAGCAGACACAAATACTGAAAAGGTCAACAATGTTAAATTACTGAAAACACATCCAAACAACTAAACTATTGCAGCGGGTATCAGATACGGTTGCTGTGTTTGGGTCGAATTTGTTGCTACTTATTAAAACAGAATGTTTATTTTTTGCTTGTTTGTCTGTTTGTCTGTCTGTCTGTCCATTCAATCCTTCAATAATTCATTCATTGATTCATTAATTCACTTATTCATTCATTCATTCATTCGTTCATTCACTTATTCATTCATTCATTTATTCATTCATTCATTTATTAATTAATTCACTTATTTATTTATTCATTCATTGATTCAATTATATATTCATTCATTTATTCATTCATTTATTTATACACTCATTCACTCATTCTTTCTTCATTCATTCATTGATTCATTCATTCACTTGTTTATTCATTCATTCACTTATTTATTAATTTATTTATTCATTCATTTATTTCTTTACTTATTTGTTCATTTATTCATTTATTTATTCACTTATTCATTTATGTATTCACTTATTTATTCATCAATTCATTTATCAATTTTTTATTTATTCAATAATTCACTTATTTATTTATTTATTCATTCATTCACTCATATATTATTTTATTTATTTATTAATTTATTCATACATTCATTTATTTATTTATGTATTCCTTCATTCACTTATTTATTCATTTAATCCTTTATACATACACTTATTTATCAATTTATTTATTTATTCATTCATTCATCCATTTTTTATTTCTTTACTTATTTGTTCATTTATTCAATTATTTATTCACTTATTCTTTTATTTATTCATCAATTCCTTTATTTGTTTATTCATTCATCATTTATTCATTTATTAACTTATTTGTTCATTCATTCATTCATTCATTCATTAATTTATATATTTATTGATTTATTAATTGCATTAATAAATTTATTAATTTATTAATTTATTAATTAATTAATTTATTTATTTATTTATTTATTTATTTATTCATTCATTCATTCATTCATTCATTCATTTATTCATTCATTTTACCAGGAAAACATCTTGAGGTTTGTAATCTCCTTTTTAAGAGTGTCATGAATGTAAAAAAGAAAAAGTAAAAATTTTATAAACAACAAATTAAAATAAATCAATAAAAAATACTATTAAATTAGGACACCATATAATTTTACCATCAAAACATATCCATGCTCCAAATAAACACCCAGTAAAATTGTCACTTAATTTAAGACATAATAAAAGCGTATCTAATAACAAACATAAATAATCATAGAAGGAAATATTCTGTTTAATTTTGTATGCATAGGTAAAATGTGAAGAATTTTTTATATACCTGTAAACATTTTATGTAATTGTGCATATTCCCCCCAGTAAAAAATATATGCCCCAATAAATAAATAAATAAATAAATAAATAATAACAAACATAAGATTACATTATAGTTTAACATAAAATATACTAAAGTATCATAGCATTCGCAGCTAAAAGGTGCTAGTGTAAATTATGCAATAAAGATTTATATCTAGTGAAGTTTGAGTTCAGTTTTGTTAAAAGTGCACGCTCAGTTTGGTTAATGTGCTTTTAAAGTGCTTGAACTAATGCTCTGTAATATGAACAGTCTAATTGAATGGATCAAACGTACAAATGAGACCCACTTTCATGAGGCGTAGAAAGAAATGAGGTAGACTAAAGCTGAAATGATGGACTCACCCAACTGTTTCATTAAAGCCAATGGCAGGATGATGGAGATGGACACCAGCACCACCAGGTAGTTTCCATTAAGATACCATTCCCTGCAGAAACACAGACGGGCAGGTCAAACCATGTCTAATACAAAAAGAGCAATTTCAGATTCCTATTTTCAACATTAAAATGAGGCCATGCTAGGTTATTTTATGTGATGACTCAAAAATAAATAAATAAATAAAAATCAGTGTATAAATATTAGGCTGCATATAGAGAAATGGGTCACACTTCAGATTTCATTAGTTAAAGTATTTACTAAGATCAACTCTTGTACTCTTGTTAATCATAGTTCAACATTTACTAATGCTGTATTGAAATCTAAACTCATGCTTGTTGTCATTAGTTAATGCACTGTTAATGTGTGTTAACTAACAATCAACAACTTTATTTTTATTAACTAAAAATATAAATATGAATAAATACTGCAATTAATGCATTGCTCACCATTTGATCATATTAGTAAATACAATCACTTACATTAACTAATAAAACTTACTGCAAAGTGTTACCAGAAAATATATTGTTTAGTTGCCATTGACATGGCGGTGATCAGGGTCTTTTTCTGGTTGTGAACTCTGAATTATTGATTTAAACCTAAAATAAAATTGTCATTTGAAAGGAGCAAAAAGAGAGATATACATTGCTTATATATGAGATATATATGCACTACACACAATTAATGAATAGATTTATATATTCATTTCCAAGAATGTTGAATTGGTTTTATTTAAAATGTTTATTTTTAAAAATTAGCTTAATCTTTACTTTGCAAAATTTAATCGCAGATCAAATTGCAATGTCTATATTTATTCCCCCAAATTATAAAAAGAGCATCTGTTTTTACTGTAACATGGACCAGAAATTGACTGGATATTATCTTATTCCTATTAATTTGTCCATTTTTAGGTGCAGAAACAATATATTTCATTATCGTACAATGTTCAATTAATTTTAAAAGTAAAAAACAGAGATGTGATATTAAAGTTAGTTATGCTCAGCATTACTTAATATAAATATTTTTATTATTTAAAACAGAGATGCCCAAAGTAGGGCCAGCGGGCCAAAGTTGGCCCATTGTATCCTTTGATTTGGCCCACCAACCAATATGAGAGAGAGAATGATGGAGAGGGTTGGGGCGAATGCCTTTAGAGATCATAATTTATAATTGAACGAAACCTTTTTTGTTTGTTTTATTGCTGAGCTACAAAAAAACTTAAACAATTCAATTAAATGTTGTAAATGAATCCGATTTTTTAAAAATGTAAATACTGTCACTTGATGGAGGACTATGCAGAAGTCATCAGTGAGCAAATAAAGGCAAAAACTAGTGTAATTGTGTTATAAATTAAGATTTTTTTTACTCTAATAAGTTCATTATATAATGTAAAAATACTGAATTAGTAATATAATGTTTCCTAGCAGTTTATAAATATTATTAAATAAATTATGAAATTACCATTCAGTCCACTAGCCTCAATCAAGTCAGGTTTTTGGTCTTTTTTAGGAAAAGTTTGAGCACACCTGATGCTAAAATAACTTACTACATTAGTTCATTAAGGGTGCATTAATTTGATCAAAGGTGACAATAAAAAATGTGTAATGGTACAATTTTTTGTATTTCAAATAAATATGATTAATAAAAAAATGTTTTTAACGTTTATTATAAAAATATGATATTCTTATTTCTTAATACATGCATTTCCGAGAGATTGTACATTATATGCTAAAATACATTCAAATACATGTATATTTACATTTAAAATTACAGTTTTTGATCAAGTAAATAAAGCCTTGGTTTGTAAAAGACATTTACTGAACCCAGAGTTTATTATATATACAGCTGTGAAAATAAGTATTGAACACGTCACCATTTTTCTCAGAAAACATATTTCTAAAGGTGCTGTTGACTTGAAATTTTCACCCAATGTTGGTAACAACACATCCATATGATCCATATATGCAAAGAAAACAAATCTAAATAGATTACAAACTAAGTGATGCGTAATAAAATTAAATGAAGAAGGAAAAACGTGTTAAACACATGAAGAATGGGAGGTGTAGAAAGGCAGTGAAAGCCCAGACAGCAACCCTCTGCCCTTCCTCAGTGTAAATGAATATCAGTTGCTTCAGTCCAACATCTACATTAGCAGGAGGATGACCATGAAAACAGGGTGGACATTTCAGCAAGACAATGATCCAAAACACAGCCAAGGAAACTCTCAAATGCTTTCAGAGAAAGAAAATCAAGCTGTAGAATGGCCCAGCCAATCACCTGACCTGAATCCAATATAGAATACAAATTGCAGATCAGATTTGATAGACGAGACCCACAGAATTATCAAGATTTTGACACTCTGTTGAAGTCTGTGAGAAACTCACACCTGAGCAATGCATGTTACTTCCTTCTCCATATGTGAGGCGTCTTTAAGCTGCCACCACCAAACAAGCCTTTTTAGATAAAGTATTCAATACATTTCAGTAGTTCAGTGCTTTCTCCTTCTGTCATTTCTATGCTGATACACATAACAAATTCTTCAGATTTTAGCTTTGTTTTATTTTTATATTTGTATTGTTTGTATAAGTTTTTACCAAAATCTGGTTCAATTCCATGTCAACAGCTCCTTTAGAAACATTATAACCAGGAAAAAGCATGACATGTTCAATACTTATTTCTCTGCTATATGCATATTAATCTTTAAATGATGCAAAACCACATTTATTTATAACTTTACCAGCCTATTTTAAAGCCAGTTTCAGTCTCCTTTTCTACAAACCTACAGCATCTTCACATTTGCAACTGCAGAAAACTACTTAAGCTATTACGCAATCAACCTGTCCGCCTCCATCCGACTCCAGTCTGGGTCTGCAATTCCTGTGATTAAAATGACGGTATGTTGTGTTTTTGCGACAGAGGCCAGCAAATATAGCCAAAGCTGACTTCGACATGGCCCGTTTCCCACTCCCGGACTCAAGTAACGGCACACTGTGAACATGAGGACACACACACCAAGTCACAAGGTGTTGCACAGTGTGTATGCGTGTGAGTCCAGGTCTCCTCTATTTTCAGACTTCTCCACTCGTCTCGGTATTCAAACACTGACGGGGAGGGCTGGAGGGACTATATGCAGACAACTATATGTAGGAATGAAACATCATAAGTATATTATGTAACATATGCGATCGTTTGGGGCATAGAAATTCCACTGCATTGGATGTGGCTGGCTTTATGGCTATTTGTGAATGTTAAACAGGAGCTTACATGAGACATACTGCTACACTGTAAAACCCAAAAAGTTAGGGTAACTCAAAACATTTGAGGAAACCCATTGCAACAAACCACTTAGGTACAAAAATGAATCCTAATGAGTACCGTGAACTTACTACATATGAGTAAATGAAGCAATTTAAGCACAGTAAAACCCAATAAATAAAGAGAACTCAAACCAACTGAGTACTGTAAAACACAATAAGTTAAAGCAACTCAAACCGCTTGAGGATACGGATTGCAACAAACCATTTGAGCTGGAAAAAAAAAATAATAAAATATATATATATATATATTAAGGGTGTCACAATCTTCCAAATCCTCGATTCGATTACATTTTCAATTCTAAAGGCACGATTCGATTCAATTTTCGATTATGAATAATTAACTAATTAATTAATGACAAATTAATTATTTGTAGCCTACCGTTTAAACTACCTGACCTGCATGGTCTTTGTTTTACCCATAAACAAATCATACAGTAAATGAATAAAGGCAAGATACACACATAATTACCACCTGTCAATCACTTTTTCTGCGGGACTCGTGATTAGGCAGTGATCTGTGTCTTTATAATGGCGTCGGTAAAAAAGACGCACAACCAACAGGAACCAGCCAACAGTATCTGAGGTGTTCGCTAAAATGACTAAGTGCAAGTGAGTGAAAGATTGAAGCAGTCTACTGACTGCCTGGACCTGCTGTCTCGAGCGTATGGCTGTGAGTGCGTCTGTGTCTGTGTGGTCACGTGATGTGCATTTTCAGAGGCGGAAAGGAAGGAGGGCTGCTCAGAAATGCTACACGCCACTGTGGATGTCAAATCGTTGTCGTTCTAAAATGCCAATTAAAAACAAAGACAGTGTAAACAGGGCCTGAGTGTGTACTTTTCGCGAGCGGATTTGCAACGGGGGCGGGCGGAGGATCGCGATGCCGTTGTTGTCTATCGGACGAACCGTACGTAATACGTACTTAGCAGAGCTTGCAAAACTGTGTTTTTTTTTTTTTGTCGACAACACGAACGTTGTCAATATAACTCACTGGAAATCCAAAATGCTTACACACCGGCGACTTCATTGAAAGAGGAGAGGGTTTAAGTTCTTTCAACGGGTCTCCTGCTTCTGCAGTTTACCAAGCACTTCAACAAGCCTGTTTTTTTCCCGCTTGGCAAGCCAAGCTGACGTGACATGGGGGCGTGGCAGCATCGACGATTCTATTTTTTGATTCGATAATCGAAATTGAGCATAAATTTCGAACAATTTCGATTAAAAATCTAAATCGTGACACCCCTAATATATATAAATATATATATATATATATATATATATATATATATATTTATATATATTAGGGGTGTCACGATTTAGATTTTTAATATCTTTTTTATTATTTTTAATATTTTTTAATATTTTTATAATTTATATAAATAATTAACAATGTTAATTAATTGTTAATTAATTAATTGTTAATTAAT